GAGAAAAATAAATGAGGATTGGGGTATAAGAATGTGAAGAGCTTGCTTGGTAGGGCAATAGACAAACAGATTTGGAGTTAAAATTAACAAGGCATCCCTGCCCTGTGTCTCTGTTCTAGTTTTCAAGCAGCTGACTGTGAGGCATTCAAGCTTTTGGGTTTTTTTTTGCCTTGCCACATTTCTATTTTTGAACACATCTGAGGCAAAGGAAGAGAGTACTTTCAAGCAATCGAGTCCAGTTGCTATTTGTTAATGCAATCACTTTTAGCAAGGCTCAGAACGACCCAAGCTATGCTCAGACTGATCTTGTGATAATGCAAAGTGGTAAATACAGCCATAAACATATTAACATGAAAACTAAGCAGTCTGGCAGAATGAACGAGACGTCTCCACTGCTTTCGTTCTCTAATTGCACACCATGCCCTTCCATCTCCAGGAGATTTTGTTTCCTTGATTCTTAAAGGGAAATAATAGGGAAGTAGTAGAGAGGGGCAGTGATCAGGTAAGTTCCAACAGGTGAAAACATACATGAATTTTGCTGGACACTGTCATTACAAGTTATTTATGCACCATTCTCTTTCACTCAAACTGATTTAAATCAAGAGTAACTCAACTATTCAGCCAGTATAAAGAAGTTATCACAAGTGAATATCTCATGGTTTTCTCAGCTTAGAGGAGGTCACAACATTTCGTGTGAATATCAGCTGTCACTTCTGCCCTCCCCTTAAGAAAGTGTGCTTCCTGCTTGCTACAGAAAAAAAACTTGAAAATGCAAGCACTCTAGCTTAACAAAATCAGAAGAACCTCTAAATGTATTATTGCTTGAAGCATTATTACTTTCAAGCCAATTTCATGATTTTGAACACTTGGGATTGGCAACAGTGAGCAAGTTGGAACAAATGAGGTGTAAATGCTAAGGCCAACAAAAAATCCACTGCACAAAGAGCATCATATGTGATTCTGTTGTCCACGCTGGCTGACCTCTAAATGGTATCTGGAATGCTACTTAATGAACATTGTTTCAGTAACCTTAGTTTTATTGCCAAAGTCAATACTTCTGTTCATGGTAACATGGCACATTTTGATAGATGTTATTTAGAGATATACTGATCACAGAAAGCCTGATGAAAGCTGGAAAGATTGAGGGAACAGATAATGTTTTCAGGAAAAAAAATTGTAAGACATGGAAAATTTTACTTATTTGGGCAGCTGAGCACAGCAGATGGCAAGATCTTAAGGGAAATAAACACAAAGTTTGGGAAAGCAAGAGTGTGTTCTAGCAGTTGCCAGTGATCTCATGCAGCAGGAAAATCAGTCAAAAATTAAATAGATACTCAGTAGCACCAGTGTTTTGTCAACAATTTTGTAAAGAACAGGGACTTGGCAGCCAGAAAGGATTGGACAGAGGAGACTGACTGGCTTCAAGGGCCCATGTTTGTAAAAATAATTGTCAAGATCAGATGGTATAACAACTTGAGTAATCAGGAGTTTTTAATGGAGATTGACCAATTGTGTACCAAAGAGCATTCATCTGTAACACCGGACTTAATGTGCATCTGTCACAGTCCAGTCCTGGGCTAGTGCCTGCCAACTCATCAAGGAAACCATGAACAAGATTTGAACATATTACTTGCCACAGTAAATGATATGGTCCTAAGGAAATGTTTTGATCAATTAATATGGTTCATCAGTATGCTCATTAATTAATATGGTTCATATGGTTCATAAATATATGAATAAGTTTATAAATCCAAGCACAGAGTATGCATAAATTATGTTATTCCATGGAAGGCCCATGACAATTTCCTTCAGATGAGGATGGACTGAAACATTGTACCATATCTCACCTTGAACTTGATCCTTTCTCTATTCATTCCTACTCATTTCACATCTATGGGATAAATAAAGAAGGCAAGATTGGGCCTATTATGTCAAAATGAATTAGCAAGTGATTTCATTATAGGACAGGAAATTACAGATGGCCAGAATTATCCATTATTCTGATTGTGTTTCAGGTCTAAATTTCTACTCCAGTTCTCTTTGTACATGGGTTTTTCCTTGTTAGTCCTCATTTTAAACTATTGTGTAAAGGGTAAAAATAGGTTGGTGTTGTTCTGTGATGCTACCCAGCTGCCACAACCTGAAAAAAGGATGGCTGTGGGTGCAAGGAGAAGTGATTATGGAAATTATACATGCTTTCTATGCATAGGCACTAAAAGTGTAATCATTCTGGAATTGAGATGGCTTCATCATTATTTAGAACCGTACAACTTTTATAACATCTGCCTTGGGATCAAGTATCAAGTATGCAGCATTTACTTAAAAGAGAAAAGGCTGAGTATATCAACAAGTTATACAAAATCTTTTGCATGTATCTCTACCTACATGTGATGCCTGTGCCTGTGTGTACATGTCTAAAGCTGGAAGAGAGCAGGAGCTCACTCTGGATACTGTACCTCCAACACTGGAGAAGACCACAGCATTAACACAGTGCCTAAAGTACACACTAATTATTTAACTGCTCAGAGTTTTATCTGGGTAACCAAAAATTTCTTCCTTCTGCCCTGGAAAAACTGAGCTTTCTGTCCCTCAAGTTCAGCTGATAATGCCTGGTTTTAAGTTTACAGATGAGATTAATGAAGTGCTCTCCACAGTAAGGTTATGTACCTTTTTTAATAGAAATGATACATTCATTACCAAATTTGTACTAAACAACTGGATAACTTCCTTGTCTACTGGTTTCAGAGGATTTCTCTGGGCTTCAGAAAGGGGATAAGATTTCATGCAGCATTTGAAAAGGGCTGAATCAAGTAAAATGACACATGATTTTTGTGTGGATGTGGATACCTTTGGCCTAAATCTGGATACGATGGGACCATGACAAAATAAGCTCTAGCAGGAATCCAAATTAGAGCATTTAGGTAACTTACGTCCGTTCTTAATCCAGTTTTAGGTATTCCAGACAGAGGCATAATATTAGGACCTGCAGGAAACAGTCATTTTGTGAGGGAATAGTCACTGCTGTTTGTTGATGTGGGTATTAAGTGGACTCTCAGGCACTTGTGGAAAATCTCACTAGAGTTTTAGGTTCCCAAGTATTTAAAAATATTACAACTACATTAAAACTACATTAGAACTACTATTAATAGTTCCTTCTACTTTAAAACATTGGGCCATTAGAAATCAAGACATACAGTTGTCCATTTTGCCATGAATACAGACAAAAAGTATACAGTGGACAACATGTCTCCAGAGAAAATTTCCTCCTAAAATCTAATTATTTGAAATTCATGTGTTCTCTGAAGTTTGAGAGTTTGCTATGTACTTTCTGTACATTTAATATTATTAACTGTGGATATGTTTGTTTTCTATTTACACCATTAGATTCTCTTTCGCACCCAGATAAAGAAGCTCACCCCAAATGTAGCGTTGGCTACTGAATCCAATAGTCTAAATATTTACATGGAAAGAACAGTCTTTCCATCAGTTTTGCACTTACAATTGTTCAGGTACAATGAACCCTGCTCACCCATTGGCAAGGTGAACTAAAGTTTTTCTTCTGCAAGTCTTTTTTTTTTTTAATTATATATCCATAAGTTTGTTTTACCTCTAGTGCTAAGTGTTTCAAGTGTAAATATTCTGCCTTTCCACTGGTTCTAACTATGGCAAGGCAAAGGCAGTGCAAATGTCTCGCCAGAATACAATCATTTTCTTCATTGCTTTTTATTTCTTTCAATAAATGATCATTTGAATGCCCTTGCCCAAGATTCTGTACAATATGCAGGATGTTTTTCCAAAAAAGCAAGCTCAATTTCTAGATCCAGTTTTCTCTTCCAGACTTAAGTCTGTTTCAAAGATTATGGTGATAATCCCATCAATCACCCACCTTATCTCTCTAATGTCTATTATCAGACAAACAAAAAACTACCTGTGCAAAGGTTCATTCCTCAGCCAGTCTATCTGCAAGCTTAATACAGCTGTGGAACTGCGTGAATCTTAATGTCTTTGTCTATTAGGGTGTGCAATATCCTAGGCAAATTCTGAGATAGGAAAAAATCCCTTCTCAGTGATTCAACGGGAGGGACTTTGAGACATGAAGCATCTCTTGCAATGAGATGCGTTCAAAACCTTGGAGGATAAAGCCTTTGAATTACTGAGCAGAGATCTCATCTTTAGCAGAAATCTCATCTTTATTTATCTATACCTTAGCATCAATAAATCACCTAATCATTCGTCATAAACAGGTAAGTACATGCCTATAATCATACACATATACACAATTCTGGAATTTAAAAAAGGAGATATATAAATAATTTGTGTTGTCAGATGTATAGAAAGTAAATTCTGAAGTGTTTCAGGTTACAATTATTTCTATATTCTAGATTGGTGGCAATTATCTCTGCGTTTAGTAATGTTATAGTATTTAATCAGGATTTCACAATTATCTTTGATAAAGGTACACACCTTATTTACATGCTGAAGGAATTAACTTTTAACTGTATGTTATTGTGGTCAGATATCACAGTTCAGTCAGGACAGAGAGCGTACAAGCAGTGTGGAGAGGAGGCTACCTCATCCTAACGAGGTTCTGCATTATTATGCTGTCAAAAACCCAACATGTGAACTCCTAGGAATGCGGACCTGCTCATCTCTGGTTTGCAATCCAGTGACATTCCAAACAACAAGCACACGCATGAGTAAGTTTATAGCCCTCTCCCCCTCCCTTTTTAAACGTTTGATTAAACGCCCACGCAATATTCATTTTTGCTGAAACACCCATCAAAATGTAGTATTTTAAGAAAGAAGTTCTATGTCGTTTCCTTTCCAGAATCCAAATAAAGGTATTTATGGGTGTAATGAGAGGGGCGTTTGGAGCAGAAGGTCTCCACTGTACCTTGCCTCCTGAGGGAAAATGCAGTACACGTTGACGGCAGCGCAAGCCAACCATGGCAGGAAGTGAATGTAGCCTTTCAGTATGAAATGTCAAAATGACTTTTCGTTGTCAGCCCGGAATGTCAAATGTAAGTTCTGAAAATAAACCCATTTACAGTTCAGGTACTTGAGCTTTCATTTTCTCTATCACAAAAAGCATTGTATTTGTTTGCACTCAGATTTCAGCCCAAGTTTACTTGTGGGAGTGCACAAAAAAGGTCTTTTTCATATCTGCCAACCATTTGAACGTACAACAAAGAATACTTAAACCTTTCGCATGGATCCAGGAGTTGTGTCTGACTAAAGATGGTTGAAATCAATACTGCAGGTAGAGGAATGGCAATCTTACTCCCGGCAACCATGAGAGCATGGTTATGAAAGAGTCAACATTTAATTTGCAACCCTATCTTAAAAGTTACTCATTATTCTTTGGAACATATTTGAAACATGAATTTGTAGTTGCAAAGCTAGCATAGAAAAAACACCATGAGGATTCTGAGAAATCATTATTACTATTTGAAAAAAAATTGAAAGAATTTGCTAGCAATTCCAGTGGATATGTTAACCTGCCTTTTACTTTTAAACATGTTGTAACCTGGCAGGCTTTTTCCCAAGGCAGGGAAGCAAACACAAGGACTGTGTCCTTTAAAGGCCCTTGCTTCACAGAGCAATTTATCATTTGAAAACAAAGACATAATACCAAAATACAACTATTTAACTGATAAGCATTGGCTTTAACAACAAGAAGCTTTTTCTCTTGCCACCAAAGTAAAACAGACAAACCCTGGCTTGGTTTGCTCCACAGGTCGAGCTTGTGCTCTCTTGGATAGATAGCTCAGCTAGATAGCCACAAGCCTCTCTGGACTGTTCCTTTACTTCTTTACGGGCCTGACTTCAGCTATTTGGTTTAGGCAGAAATTGGCTCAGACTCAAATACCATATATGCTGACACCTCATGAACAAGCAACTTTATTTATTGACCGGTAAAGAGCACTTTTAAGCGGCAAGACTGAAGCAAAACTGTCAGATCAATATACTAGGTCTTCTTTTGCAGTATCTATTTATGAATACATCTGTATCATAGCAAAGCAGTTATGCAATTTCTATTTCCCTAATATATTTTCACTTGCTAGAGATTATTTAATGAAAGTAGAATGGTAAGAAGAACTATCGCCCACTGATTGCTTCTAGTTTAAGCTTGGGGAGGAGGGTGTCTAATTCTTCACGTTCACATTCTGTTCCTTCACTTAGACATACAGGGCTCGGTCTGTAGATTTGTATCACGTTAAATATATATATAGCTTGTGAGGTGGCCATACTGCTGGGATGAGCAAATCCAGCTTTGAAGTCTACACCTCTTTCTGTTTATAAATAGAGTCCTGAATGTTAAATATTACATTGAGGCAGATTGTACCTTCCAAAGGAAGCCATTAAATAGTTTTAATTTTATTGTATCCATTATTATACATGAAAGTAGAAAATGTATGAACATTTAAGTAGGTGAACAGGCAAATCGGGTCTCATTCTTACACTTCTGACAAGCTCCTAATGTTGCAAAATCTGTTTTCCATAGCATAATAGGGCCTTGCACCCTATTAGGAACAGCACATGCCCCTTAAGGCTTATGCAGAGATACCAGGCACGCACTGGTTTTTGGGGCTGGGGACAGGCTCAGGAGAAGGCTGTGCTCCCTGGCTGCAAAGGGCACACAGCCTCAGGTTGGCACAGGCTCTGCAGGCTGCTGTCCTGGCACTGCCCCGAGCTGCCCTGTGCCATCTGTGTAGTCCAGCATTAGGACTTTACAATTAAGACTTAAATAAAACAACAAAAGCTCTCACGGACATAATCACCACGCATCGAAAGGGCTCCTTCTACATCAGTTGTAGAGTTAGTACAACTATTACAAGATTAATAAAATAATTATTTTCAAAGGGGTGCAGCAAAGTTCATTCTGAAGTGCGGAGTCTTCTTAGTAGGCAGAGATACAAAAGGCAAGGGGGCTGAGAGATAGAGCAGCTCTTGGAGTCATGGCCTGACAGACACAAACTCCAGGAATCAAAGCATGGAGAGATGTGAACAGTGCTTGAGCTCCAGGGAGCTATTGTAAACAAAGGTGCCTACTGCCAAATGTGTTGTGTAATTAAAAAGGAGAGAGCATGAGACACAGAAATTTCTGGATCAGCCAAATTGGATCTTGAGAAGCTAGAGAGCTGCTTCACTTGTGAACAGAACTGGGTGAAGTAATAAACCATAATAAAAGTTCAACAACACCATATACTGGAACAATCTTGGGAAGCTAAATCCCATTCTTTTCCTGGGAGATCCTGCAGTACGATTATTTTGTTCTCTCTCTGGGTCTGTTTCCCACTTTCTCTCTGAGGAAATAGCATTTTATTTATACTGCTTTCCTGTATGTTCAAGAATTTCTGGTTTTATGCGCTCAGCAATGTTGAGAGTGGTTTCTGGCACCTTCTGTGCCGCAGGTACACTTTGTTCAGTACTCTGTGTGTTGTCCTCAGGTATCACCGGACAACATAGTAATGTTGTGATACTAGTATCTGGCACAGGTCTGACTGACAACCCTAACCTTCCCCACAAAGAGCAAAAATCTTACCCTGATTTGCTAATGCATTTTTAACAAAAGAATGAATTCTGTTTGGAGTAATCTATGCAATAATTACTTATTATTTTGACGGATTCAAGCTACTTCTGGATGCTAATTAAATGCTTGTGAATATTAGCCTCCCCATACTTACAGAAACATAATTATATCCCCATCTTTCACAGCAGAGCTCATTCATGAAACCCTTGCTTAAAAAATGTCAGCCACACAATCAGGAAATAAAAATAATCCCATGTGATTTAGGTGACGAGCTATGATAACAAATAAAAACATATAGCTAAGATGAGTGATTTAAAAACAAACCACAGTTTTTTAGCAGGGATATTTGGATAAGTATTACAAATAGTGAAAGGCAGCCGAGACTAGGTAACGAATAATTGTTTAACCAAAATAGAGCTAATTAATTATTTTAAAAGAACAGTTTGACCTGTAAAACACTGTACAAAGAGTAACCATACACAGAGTAATTGCTACCGAAACTCTGTAAATTGGGGGTGGGAGACATTCTGGAGCTACAGTAGATGTGAGATGTGTAAAGACAGAAGTGCTTCTACTTTTATATAGAGTATGAGCAACGTGCTGAAGTTGCATAGTGATGTGCTGATGTAGAAAATCCTGCAAATCAGAGGTCTTGGTTCCAAGAGTATGGAAAATCCTCACCAAAGCAGACACTTCTGGAAAGCCACATATCAAGCTGTAAGGAACTGTATTTGCTTTGAGATGCATCATTTTCAGTGTGATGTTGCATATAACATTATGTACACACAACACCATAGAGTGATTAATCCTCATCTTGTTGGGCTTTTAACAATAGATGCCTTTGTGCTCTTTAATTTGCCATAACCATCATTAACTGCATTTGCAGCAGTTGGTATCTTCCATCAAATGAAGATGTTTGGGTCAGTAATTGAAGGTTTTGCCATGTGCTTGCAGCTGGGATTTTACTTGCTCTGCTAGAATTTTCATTCTCTAGAGATGGTTGCTCTCCCAACTGAGCATTGCTTCGAAGGGACTGTTTCTGGCAACAAGCTGGGAGGAGAATAGTCTTTACCTGTCTTTTTATGAAAAAAAAAAAGCTTTTAACCTAAGAATTTTGCTAGGTTAACTAAATATATTGAACTTTAACACTGCAGGTAGTTTTGCCACATCTGAGGAATGAGATGAGAGGAGGAGCTTCCATATAGGATGCAAAAGGAGAGATGATGTTGATTACAGTCCGAGGCAGAATCAAATCAATGCTTCTGTCATTTTTGATACTACTTAATTTGAACTATTCTTCTGATTATCATAGAAAGTCACATAGACAAGTAATAATGTAGAACACATTCCAGCTGGTAAAGGTTCCTTCATAAGGAAACTGTGCATTGATGACAATGATTTATCATGATATAAAACTAGAAAAAAATCTAAAGCGTGATTGCCAATCTGGAGAAAATAACCAAAGAAATGACATACGGCATTCCATGTCATAGCAACACAGGGAGTGTTAAAGGCTTCATTCACATGGTCCCAGTATCCTGAAGTACCTTCTTATATACAGAGACTGCTAAGGAGGTCTGAGTCTTATCTGAAAAACTGGGGGGAAAAGCCTTGCCAATGCCATACAATTTGACCTTCAACTTCAAGCATTCTTAGAGAAGTTTGCTACAACTGCGTTTGCAGTCAGGATCTCTAAACTGCATAAAGGATTGCGCTGTGCTTAATCCCTTGCCTCTGGCCTCAATTAATCTATAGTACATGGTTACTGATCATGGCATTGATTTTCCTCCATGGCTTTCTAACATACTCTGTCTTCAGACTCTCTCAGGCATGATATCAAATAGAATTCCACTCTGCTGTGCTCTATTGGCATTTTGTTGAAAACAGTGAAATATAAGCACAAGCTTGGAGAAATTCAGTGGTGATACAAATGCAGTAAAAGATTCTGTACATAGGGTTTGTAAACTGGGCAGCAAATGAGTTATAGCCACTTTTATCCATTTAATGGTTAATAGCCATGCAAAACTGATGCAACTACACTGATTTATCATTTGCTGGGATCACATTATACCCTGAAGTCGGGGAAATTATACCTGACAAACCTATGCAGAGCTGCCTTTGGAGATATGAGGAAGATTAGCCACACATACATTAAAGTGTATGAACTTGAGGAAGAATGAACTCTTATATTTAAGCATGCACACTTACTAAAAATTGACTTTCCTGGAAGCAGGCACTTAACACACTTCTTCTGTCCAGCTGGCACCCAAATTTAGCTTGTATCATACATTTTCATAGGCTGTTCCTGCCTACCCTAGCCAGCATTTAATTTACTGTACCTAAAGGCATGGAGCACAAGCCCTGTAGGTGAAAACAAGTTCCCCTTTCGTTTTTTCCTGCCGTTGCTCATTCTAAAAACTACCTGTTGCCAAGCTATTATTAACTACCAAGTGATTCAGTTCATTTTGAAAGGGTTC